TTTGCTCTCACTGTTGCCTGTAATAAAGTGGTACATTGTATGTACAGAAGCTCAATTCAGCCTTTGTATGTCTAAGAACCTTTTGGGCAAGTTTGAAAAAATCTTCAGAAGTTAAATTTTTAATCTGGTCATTATAAATGCAGAGATGGAATTGTAAATGGAGACAAATGTTTAATTTTCCTTGGGAGAAAATATATTGCAATAGATTTTTTTAAAAAGCAGAAAAAATCGATGTATTTAAAAAAAATGAATAAAATTGCCTAAAAAACCATTGTATTAGAAAGTAATTAGCTTGTTAGGAGAGAGTAAAAGATGGCCCTGGGTGTTTAATAGATATTTTGATAAAGCACAGGAATTATCACTTTCCTCATAATTTGTAAAGCCCTAGTTACTGTTGACATGCAGAAAAATCCATGGCCTTTAATACTCTTTATGGATTCTGTAAATACACTTTCTTTAATTATTAGGAGTCCCCTTTTAATTTTTAATTACTAATTAGATCATCTTTGTCTCACTTTGGATTGAAACTAATTCTGTGGCAATCTGTTTTGAGGCCTCTGAAGGGAATTGAGACATAGTCTGATCCCCCAACTGTAGTGTTATGGATATGTAATTGCATGGATTAAAATGTCAGTGGAGAAACAAAATAATTAAAAATTGAATGCATAAAATTTGGGATTCCCATTCTCTTGTTTTAATGCAATAAGTAAAAAAAAGGCTGGAGCCTAAGCAAGCATGATTTAATTAAGGAGTCATAAGTCATAATTTATGACAGACAGTGCTTGAGGAAAGCTCTAAGCATCATCAAAGACCCCACACACCCCAGCTACACACTGTATGACCCTCTACCATCTGGAAAACGGTACCGGAGCATTTCAGGCCCAGACTACCAGACTCAGAGACAGTTTTTACCCCCGCACTATCAAACTATTAAACTCCCAGCCTCTCTCACTCTCACCTCACCTCCCACCTACGATCTGAACCTCACAGTGCCTTCTTTCTTACCAAAAACTCAAACACACATTGAAATCTACCTCTACTTCACATGTCAAAAAGGTAACTCCCTATTTCATTCTGTTGATGCATGTTTTTGCACATCTGATGTTGTTTTGCACATTACCTGTTACCTTTTTGTTGTTTTGCACATTTCCTGTTGTTGTTTTTGCACACTGCCTGTTGTCTCTGTCTTTCTTTTATTATACAATTGTATTGTTGTTTTTTTGTACTACGTATCGTCTGAGAGCTAGCTAAATAGCATTTCGTTATGCCATATACCTGTATACGAGTATAATGACAATAAACTTGAACTTGAACTTGATAAGGGACGTATTTGTCAAAATCATAGTCAGTGAACCCCTTCTGTTTTAGTATTGCCAAAACTAGGTCATAAATATGTTATTATAAATGTCCTAAATGAAAGGAAGCTGCCAAGCTGATTTGAACAAGGAATAAAGAAAAATGTACATTTAGAGAAGAAAAAACATTCTATATCTGTGACCTCACATAAGACAATATTTTGGACATTCAGTGTGAATGTGAGAATTCTGAAGTAATAATAAACAATTGACAATGAATTTTTCATTAAATGCTTAAAAAATAAAAAGTCTATTGCTGTAAACATATAGTACTTACAATACTACAGTTCTTCATTTTTTCTATCTTTCCTTGTTGGATTTTTGATCCTTTTAAGTTATTCTCAATATTCTTCTTAAGTATTTGATGTGAAACATAGATTTTAGATGTCTTCGTAGACACCTAAAGAATACAGTGAAGAATACAGTGGCCGTGTGTTCTTCGAATTTATTTTAAAAGTAATATTTTTCAGTCACAAAAATATGTATTCATTTGCCAAAAGCCCTATTTGCTTTTCCAATTATTTTTCTTGACTTATTGCTGTTTGTCAACAACTACATTTGAATCATAAATTCATTTAGACCAGTAGGAACTGCTCATGTTTGCTGGTATTTCAGGAAGTGTGTGACCTCATTTTTTTTGCTGTCATACTGAGCCGTTAATTAGATTCATGACAGTTCTTTCAAAATTATTCAGACTCTACTTGCTGTCTCGTTTTGTGAAATAACAAAATGATATACACACATTTTAAGCTCATTATTTTATTTAAACCTTGAACACTTCAACTGAAGACTTCAAAGGGTAGGATAAATTACATTACATCTCATCACAGATAATCAGAATAAGACAGGACCCTGGTTTACCTTACCTACATCTTTGCAAGAGCTGCAGTTCAATCCTGCAAATACAGTTTCTTGTGCAGATTGTTTCTGGCAGATATAGAGCAAAAAAATAGAGAAAACCTTTTGCAGTGTATCACAGTGTTCGGATAATAAAGAAAAAGAGCCTCGTTTTGGATTTCCCAAGGCATATTAAGGTGTAGAGCAGTTGGATAAAGGCCAGGCATAAATATGAAGGGTATCATTTCTGTTTCCCTACAATGTCCTGCCGTAAAATGTCCTACAAATGTTTAGGGATGGCTTTTCATCCTCTGGGACCTGCATAGTACTGAAGTGCCCAGTGCTGTATTTCTGTACTCCGTGTTTGTTCCTTGGTGGACTATGCTGAAAACAGTTCATGCATAGAGTGTGTTTAGTAAAAATGTTTGTAGTGCTTTACTAACCTTAAAGGGCAATGCTGTTTCAAAATCTGCTTCCTGTGAGCTATGATAACTATAAAATATAGAGGAGGATATTAGAACTTCAAAATAAACTTAATACAGCTGGTACCATAGACAAAGAAGTTATGCATTGTGACCATTGTGTATTGTGGATGAAAAGGTTTCATCAGTATTCCTTATCATGTTTAGCCAGTTGCATGGTGGCCATTTAAATGGGCCCAATTAATTTGTCAGTGCCTGTTGTTTTACTTCAAAAAACGATGAAGCTAAAACAACAGACTGCAAGATAAAAAGTGATATACCTACAAACTGCTTGAACCATGTGATTCTCCCATGATGTCTTATAATTTAAAAAAGTCGTTTTTTACTGTTTATGGTTTATTTCCAGTATTTCCATTATTTTATTTATTCCAAGTATTATTATTTTTTTCTGCAGTAACATACAGTACTGTGTTGCTGTGTGCCAGAAGGGTAGGCCAATTATACCTACAGTATATACAAATTTGACATAACCAATTAACATTCTGTACCATTGAGCCAATACACACCAGTACCTTGGGTTAAACTCACAGGTGGCTTATGGAGGCTACATGCTGAGTGGTTCCAGTGTATCTAAACATATACTTGAGTTGCTTAAGATGGTTGGAAGTTTGTTTTATGTACAGTATTTATGAAACTAACCAAAAACAGGAAATCAGTCACTAAGACAGGTCAGGAACAAGGCTTAGAAAATGTAGAGTGTTACTGTAGGTAGAAATGTGCTGCAGATCACTAACCACATATTCTGAATATATTATTTTCAAAATATCCAAGATTTCCTTTCATATTCTTCCCTAGATGTCCCTGCCTAGTTTTACCTCCCATCCTTGGAGTGGCAGAGACATCTAGGAAAGATGCCCAAACACAATAACAAGATAACATCTTTAAATACTGAACTAAAATATATTTTTGAGCATTAAAGAGAAGTGAATTTAGGGAAAAGGTAATGTTTTTGTTTATATTTGAGGGAAGATTTATTTCCTTTTAGTTCCTGTCAAGTAGAACAGTATTTCTGGGATACATTTTTTGCTTTAGACTGAAATGTACAGTAGTTTTCATACAGTACTTTAGCATTAGTGTTAGAAAGAGGACTATTCTGTCAAGTCTTTTGTTGAAACAGGTATTATCTCCCTGAACATCTGTCTCAGATAGTCTGCAGTAAGAATCTACATATTTGAGTGAATGTACTGTAGGTAGATTGTAGAAAGCCTGAACTCAAGTAATAATTACAAATCATTACAAAATCATTACAAAAGTGATTGGAGATAATTTGCTAATATTTATTTTGTAATCATTTGTCTTAATTCAAATATTTGTCTTTTATGTTTGAGCCTTCTCATTGCAATACCACCTCACTCTGGCAGAGAGCATGTGATCCTTTTGATAGGTTTTCTTTCCTCAGTAAAGGGGTTGTTTTATGTTGTATTTTATATCAATTGGTCTTGTTGGTAGATTTTTTTTCCTTATGTATTTTAAAATTCATACAATATGCCTTTTGTAACATTATTTTTTTACTAATTTTGTCATAATTTAGTCATATTGTACTGCATTTCTAAGCAGATATTAACATACTGTATTAAAACAAGTCTATCCTTCAACTTCTGGCTTGGATCTTACATTCAAAGGTATGCCTCAAGCTCCTCTTCATGTTCTGTTTCTATAGAAACAGTTGCTTTGACAGACCTTTAAATTGAAAGGGAAACTGAAGCACATTTACTGCCAGGCACAATTTTCTGGGATGGTTTAAGATATTGTGCTCAAAAGGAATGTAATTGCAGATTTTGAAAAGTCTGCCTGTAGTATTGTCAGATTATTTTATTGAGAAGCACGGGGTGTTTCAAACTGTTGTCTTGATATCTTTCTTCAGAAAGGCCAATTAAAAAGGCATTAATCATTTTGAAGACAATTCCTGTTTGTTTTCACTAGATAACAAAATGAATAATAAAGGGTACTTATTTGAAATCCCTTCTTGTTTGTGTACAGTTCTCCACTAAGTTTGGTAGCTGAGAAAAACAGACTTATTGCAAAACATCTAGTATGTTCTATTTAGAAAGCTGGTATAAACAAGCCCCAAAAATATTTATATTACATGTAATTCTTTGCTTGTTGGAAACTGGCTAAGAAAACCCCATTTGGGACACAGTTCAGAGGTATCACTCCAACATCAAACTAAAACTATATAAACTATGACCTTTTGGTCCAGAGTCCAGAGCTTCTAATGACATCTCCAAACTGCTGCCTGATTGTTAGATTAAATGCCATGGTGTAATGTGTACTCTTTTACAATGCGGCACAGAACAAATGTAAGTGGGCGTTTGAATATTCGCAGGCATGGAATTCCACGAGAATCTGCACAGTGTAGCAGTAAAAGAGGGACTTAAAGGCCGGAAGCTACAGAAGGCTGTGGAGAGTTTTACCTGGAATATCACCATTCTCAAGGTAAGGTCTGTGGGATACACAGCTACTGGTTATGTTTTCTTTTTCTTGCGGAGTGCAGGCTTTGAAATCCCCTTGATTAATAAACACTGCAGTGTTACAGGAAAGTAAAACATTTCCAAATCTGACCTGGTATGCAATGGATTGCCTCTTTCACAACTCATTTTAACACCGATTATGATGACATAAGGAAAATATTTAGATTTTACTCTGGTCATTACACAGAACATGTTATGAATAGCTATAAATGATAAATACTTTTAGATCATTGTGTTATGTATGTTGTATGGGATTAACTACAAAGTACAATTCCTGACTCACCTTTGAGCAAATAATGTGCTCTTGAGCTCTGATTCATTGGTAATCTTTAGTTTTATCTTACGGAGTTAATACTGTAGGTAAGATTTTAAGATATTAAGTATCTAGTATCATGTTTGTGTAAGCTTCATAACTAACCAGTTATGACGCTTGCACCAGGTGACACCAGGTGACCAAACAGGTGACAATTTATCTAGTATATGTAGGGAATCCTGTATAAATTCCATGACAGTTTCAAAATTATTTTCATACAGAAAAGCCACACTTTTCTTTCTTAATTCATCTGTATATAAATTATGCCATGGCAGAACTTTTAAAGAATGTGTAAAATGTATCCATTTCAATCAATAACCAATGTAACATTATGAAAAGAAAACCCTTCCAGCACTAAATTTTCTTTGTGGTTTCACGCCAAATGTATTAGTTGTCTACACAGGAAATTGCATTTGGTGTAGCCTATTTATATTCATAAATTAATATTGTTTATGACGTTCATAAACATTATATTTCTGTCATTTTTATTTTCAGCTGCCAAAATTTCTCTTCAGTGGCATATTTCTCTTTAGTTACTATAATTCCATAATAGTATTCCATTTTACGTGGATTTAAAGATGCCCAGTAGGGAAACAGATTAAATGAAGCGATCGTTTCACTCACATCTAGCACACCATAAGTGCCACCCATCGATTGTCTTTGGCCAGTGAATCACACAACATGCTGTGCTGCAATACCGCAAACACTGGAATAAGAATTGACGCACATTCTGAGTGGCTGCATCTGTATGTGCAACTTCTTAGGAGCTGAAAACAGCTAGAAGGGTCAGCCATTTAATTCACTTTCCTGTGTGGTTGTGAGTTATTGA